AGCACGGCAGACCGCGCGTAGGAACCGAGAGGAGCACGGCAGACCAAGACGAGGAGCACGGCAGACCAGGCTTAGGAACCGAGAGGAGCACGGCAGACCCAGACGAGGAGCACGGCAGACCAGGCACCAAGAGCGCCCTCAAGACGACGGAAAGGATGACCAAGACGAGGAGCACGGCAGACCAAGACGAGGAGCACGGCAGACTATGCCCTAAGAGTGCCCTCAAGACGGCCGAACAATCATCAAACAAACAATGAATCTAACGTCGTCTTGGAATCGTTTTTGAGGGCATCAGTACGGCCCCCCAAAAACAAAATCGGCCCAAAGATGACCCGCAGAGTGCCCTCAATACGGCCGACCATGACGATTTCGCTGGGGACGTGTTCAATAAATTAAGAGTGTATCAGCACCGTCTGCTGCAACAACGCTGTGCTGGTCTGCCGTTCTCCTGTGTCAGCTGTGCTGCTCTGCCGTGCTCCTGCGGTCTGCCGTTCTGGTCTGCCGTTCTGGTCTGCCGTGCTCCTGTGGTCTGCCTTCCTGGTCTGCCGTGCTGCTGCCGTCTGTCGTGTTGCTGCGCTGTGCCGTGTAAGCTGATAAACCGGTCAGACCGATGAAGAAAACGAGAGTCGGGTTACAACGGCTACGCAGATTTTAACTGCTAGTCCAAAGGCTCTCCAGAGGACCCCAACATCTCCCAAGCACACCCCGAGAAGTCCATCATCATCATCATCCTCATCATCATCATCATCATCATCATCATCATCATCATCATCATCATCACCATCATCATCATCATCACCATACTCATACTCATACTCATCATCATCATCCTCCTCCTCCTCATCATCATCATTATCATCATCGTACGCATCACCATCACCATCAGCAGCAACATGATCATCACCAACAACAGCAGCGTCAATGACATGATCTGGTCTGCTTTGTTCCTATGGGCTGCCGTGCTGGTCTGCCGTGCTGGTCTGCCGTGCCGGACTGCCGTGCTCGTCTGCCGTGTCGGTGTGTTGTGCTGGTCTGCCGTGCGGGTCTGCTGTTCTGGTCTGCCGTGCTGAAGCTGAAGCTTTGGGGGCTTAAAGCCAGAGAAAGAGAGAGACATAGAGAAATAGAGAGGGAGAGAGATTCTCTAACTAAGGGGTACGGGCTCCATCCCGAAACTCGTTGGCGGTTCTCTAACTAAGGGGTACGGGCTCCATCCCGAAACTCGTTGGCGGATGACGGGAAGCGTCTTCGAGGTACGACAAGCAAGCGGGACGTTCTGGCTGAATCCTTGAGTAATATATCTTTTCTTTAACTATATGGGTTGCCGCGCTGCACGGGATTTTTCGTTAACGGATTCCCCAAAATGGTCTGGCGTGCTCCTGTATGGTCTGCCGTGCTCTTGTGTGGTTTGCCGTGCTCCTGTGTGGTCTGCCGTGCTCCCGTGGGGTCTGCCGTGTCCTGTGTGGTCTGCCGTGCTCCTGTGTGGTCTGCCGTGTTCCGGAAAATTGGCCGTTTCGCTCGGGACGTCCTCAAAAAATCGGCTCCGGAGGGGACTCCGAAGCAGCATTATCTTGGAATCGCTCCCGGAGGGCCTCCAAACGGCCCAAGAAAGCCCCCGAAGGCCCCCCAGAGGACCCCCAGAGCGCCCCAAGAGACCCCCAAGAGGCCCCCAAGGGGCGGCCAGAGGCCCGCCAGAGCGCCCAAAACGCCCCAAGAGACCCCCAAGAAGCCCCCCAGGGGCTCCAAAGAGGCGGCCAGAAGTCCCCCAGAACGCGCGAAAAGGCTCCAGGAGTTCCCTGAGAGCTTCATATCGCCCCATAGAGCCCCCGAAGGCCCCCCCCGGGACTCCCCCAAGAGGCCCCCGAGAGGCCAGAGGCTACGACAGCCCCAAGAGCGTCCAAGATACCTCCAAGACGGCGCCGAAGCCAGGAAACGCAACAGGGATGTTCTCTGACGTTCTCGCCAATACGGTCTCTGACGCACGTGGTGGATAAAAAACTGCGCTTCCCGTTCTTGTCCGGTCAGGTTCCCCAAAATGGTCTGGCGTGCTCCTGTATGGTCTGCCGTGCTCTTGTGTGGTTTGCCGTGCTCCTGTGTGGTCTGCCGTGCTCCCGTGGGGTCTGCCGTGTCCTGTGTGGTCTGCCGTGCTCCTGTGTGGTCTGCCGTGTTCCGGAAAATTGGCCGTTTCGCTCGGGACGTCCTCAAAAAATCGGCTCCGGAGGGGACTCCGAAGCAGCATTATCTTGGAATCGCTCCCGGAGGGCCTCCAAACGGCCCAAGAAAGCCCCCGAAGGCCCCCCAGAGGACCCCCAGAGCGCCCCAAGAGACCCCCAAGAGGCCCCCAAGGGGCGGCCAGAGGCCCGCCAGAGCGCCCAAAACGCCCCAAGAGACCCCCAAGAAGCCCCCCAGGGGCTCCAAAGAGGCGGCCAGAAGTCCCCCAGAACGCGCGAGATCGGCTCCGGAGGGGACTCCGAACCGGCATTATCTTGGAGTCGCTCCCGGAGGGCCTCAAAACTGCCCAAGAGAGCCCCCAAAGGCTCCCCAGGGGACCCCCAAAACGGCCCAAGAGACCCCCAAGAGGCCCTCAAGAGGCGCCCAGAGGCCCCCCCGAGCGCGCGAAGAGGCCCCAGGACTGGCCAAGAGAGCCCCAAGACGGTCCAAGAGAACGCCAAGACAGCCCAAGAGAGCCCCCACAGACCCTCGAGAGACGCCTGAGTCCAAGAGGGTCACAGAAGCCTCCAAGAGGCTCCCAAAATGCTCCCCACGGGCCCCAATCAGGCCCCCAGAGCCCCACGACAGTCCAAGATAACGCCAAGACAGTCCAAGATAACGCCAAGACGTCGACGTCGTGTTCGAATCGCTCTTGGAGTGTTTTCCAACGGCCCAAGGGAGGCCCAAAAGACGCCCCGGAGAGCCCCAGGAGCGCCCAAGAGCGCCCCAAGAAGACCCCCAGAGACCCCCAAGAGCGCTCCAGGAGCCACCCACACAGCTCACAAGAACCCAAAGACGGCCCAAAAAGGGCCAACAAGGCCCCAAGAGACTCCCGGGAGCTCCCCAGGAGGCCCCCAGCGCCGAGACGGCCTAAGAAAGCTCCCACAGAACCCCACGACGCGCCCAGACAGCCCAAGAAGACCCCAGAAGCCCATAAGAGGACCCAAGGGGCCCCCAAGAAGCCCCCAACAGGCCCCAAGAGAACCCCGCGCGGCGCCAGGAGCAACGTCTTTCTCCAATTGCCTCGTACTCTCCTCTGTTGTCGTCGTCGTCGTCGTCGTCGTCGTCTTCGTCGTCGTCGTCGTCGTCGTCGTCGTCGTCGTCGTCGTCGTCGTCGTCGCCCTCCGCATTCGTCCTCGTACTCGCCCTCGTTCTCTTCGTCATCGTCCTTGTGCTTCTCTTCCTCCTCGTTGTCCTCATGCTCCTGCGCGCTATCCTCACGTTCGCCACGTCGTCCTCGTCATCGACTCCTCGTTGTCCTCGCCTTCCTTTTCTTCGCCTAATACGCCCAATAGACTAAAGCGGCGCTTCCCGTTCTTGTCCGATCAGGTTTGCTCCACACATTCAGTGTCCGATGGCAAAGCTTTGGGAGGTCTCCAGCGAAAGCCTGCGCACGAAAGAGAAGCCGCCCACAACCCATGCAATGGTTGCACATGCTCAAATGCACGGTGATGAAATCTGGTGGAAATCTGAAGCGGGAGCCCACTTTTTGACCGGGTAGATCTTTCATTTCGCGCGCTTGTTGGACTATGTATGTTTCTGGCGGTGGGGCTGCAGGGGTCTCATGGGAGTGCCCAAGTCTGAAAAAAAACGCCCACCACACATGCATTTCGCGCACAACATCGAACTCATGGTGATGAAGCTCGAAGGAGTATCATCTTGAAGCCACCCGCCGTCCGCGCAATGGTTGAAATTTGTTCGTACGAATGTGAATGGCATTCTGGCGAGAACCACATGTGCAAGACCACACCACTCACATCCGAAAACGGTCGGGAACTCTTGAACAGCGTGTCGTTCCGCCGGTTCTGACCCACCGCGCTTCGGCACGACACGCTATCCACTTCCCGGTCCCCAGGCCTCAACGTCCCGGGGTTTTCCGAGCCTCCCAAGGCGCGAAGCGATACTTCATCCGTTTGCAAGGCATAGCGTGTCGCCAGGTCGCCGGGGCGGCACGCCATCCGAAAGCTCCCGACCGTGATCTGCGACGCGATGTGCGGCGCCACGGCGAGAGCAACATGTTGAAATCGACCCGCCTTCATCCGCACATCTGTCGGAAAAGTTTGAGGCGATTGTACTCGGCATTGAGACGAGAGCCGCAGTGTGCAAACCATTTCATCCCAAATCACTGCAGGACGGCAAATGGCAAGGAAGTCTCAGGCGAAATGCCGAGCCCGCCCTGTCGACGCGTCTGGTATCGAGACGACGACGCATGAGGTGTGGATGATGGGTGGAGAAGGCGAGGAGGAGGAGGAAGAGGAGGAGGATAAGCAGCAGCAGTAGCAGCAGCAGCAGCAGCAGCAGCAGAAGCAAGACGAGGAGCAGGAGCAGGAGCAGGAGCAGGAGTAGGGGCAGGAGCAGAAGCAGAAGCAGGAGAAGGAACAGGAGGAGGGGAGGGGAGGAGCGAGAGGGGGGAACAGGGAAGGACGGGGAGCAGGAGGTGGAGGGAGACGTGGAAAAGGAGGGAGGAGGAGGAGAGAGGAGGAGGGGGTGTGGGAGGGCAGGCGGGCAGGAGCACGAAGCGGGGGAGGACAGCAGAGGGAGGCGGAGGGGCGGTGAGCAAGGGGGGGGTGGGCGGTGGAGGAGAACCACAGCGCCTAAGTCGGTCTCAACGCCCTGCCCGTTCTCCATACCGTCCTGACTCTAGGATCCCAGTCGATCGGAGTTCGCCTGGCGTCACAAGGGTGGGGGAGAGGGAGAGAAAGAGGAAGGCGGAGCGGGGAGGGAGGAGCGGGGAGGGAGAGGGAGGCGGAGCGGGGAGGGGGCGGAAGGGCCCGCGAGCTCCGCGCGCACAGGAGCCCGACGAAGCGCGGCGGCGCCAGGCACCTGGCTGGGAGAAGCAGGAGCCGCCGCGACAGGCCAGGCGGCCGAGGCCGCGGGACGCCCTCGGCCGGGAGGGGCAGCAGCACGAGAAGGTCCTACCAGGAGGAGTACTCTGAATGGCACATGATCGGGGGGCGGCGATTAACTTTCCGACGGAGCGCCCCCACCCCCCCCACCGAACCCCCTTCCGATGGAGCGTCCCCCCGAGCCCCCCCCCTCCTTCAACAGCACGCGCCCATCCCCCCTCCCCCCAGACCCAAGGGGGGGCGATTATTAATTATGTCACCCAGAGTAGAGAGCGTCACGTTGGTGCCCCCCAAAGGGTGGTGCGAGGAGGGGGGCGGGGGCTTCTACGAAAGCGGGGGGGTGCTTCTTAAAAGGCAGGGGCCTTCTTCGAATGGCCTGGCGGCGTCCAAGGGGGTTTCTTAGAAGCGGCCGGGCCACTTTCGGCGACTACAAAGGGTGTGGTTACGCCGAGGTGTGGTTTGCGATCGGCGTCCTTAGGGCCTGGGGTCGCGACATTGTCCTCGTCGGGCCTCCCTGGGGCGCAGCAGAAAGCTCTGACCCCCCGAATAATCCTCCCAACCCCATATTTGACAGTGAGGCTGGCAAAGTGGCGCACATGCTGGTAGAAAGGCGTGTCAAGTGCAGCAAGCATGATGATGCTACTCGGCTGGGCAATGATACCTTTAGGCTGGTTTTGTCCTGCTGGCCGGCCTGTGCCGATAAAGGCTTGGGTGAGTCTGAAATGAGGAGGGCAGGTGGGCAGGGTAATTGTGTTTCAAGTGTGGGAGTGAGGCCGACTCCCTGCCGAACAGGGGGGCCCGATATAGTTGTTGTCAAGATCCTCATCCCGCCTCCAACTCCCTCGAGCACGCGATGCAAAATGCAGTAAAGACAGCAGACCGGATAGGCAGCATTTGAAATTGTATCGTTGGCCTCTGTAGGCCTCCCGTTAGCCAGCAGTAGGCCCGCTCGTCGGTTCCTCGGTGGAGGGATTCACCTTCTCCGACTCGTGGCCAGAGGAGAAAGTAAGTTGGGAGAGCAGTGCATGGGATAGCGTGTGGTGTTCAACCCTCCCTATAGTAAGCACTGTAGAGGGCCTACTGCGAACGGGGAGAAGGAGAGGAGTGAAACGCAGAACGACAGACCACAGCAGGGATCCAAATGCGCCCTCTGTCGAGATACTTGTAGTCTCCGCACCCATGCTCCCCATGTACGCCTCTGCCATGATAGACCTCCCGCCCCGTCCAGAAGTACTAGTGAGGTGTGGCAGGTGGCGCGTCGGTGTTGGCTGGCCTACGCGTGAGGCATGATAACACTGTTGGGCAAATTCCCTGCAAACCAGGGGGGCCCGAGATAGTATAGCGCTTCTTCCACCACCCCAGTGCACCTTACCTCTGCCACCGCCCAGTATGAACGTAGGGAAATTGCGTAGGGTGTGAGAGAAAAAGCATCTGTCGCGTGCTGGTAGAAAGCTGGTACGAGCGTGTTAAGGATTCCCTTGCAAAAGGCATAAAACCCTAGGCACCCTGGGGCAATGTAAATCCGTAGATTGAAAGAGTTGCCGTAGATTGAAAGAGTTGGTTGAGGTATGATGTAGCGCGTCGCTCTGTATGAGTAGCATTGGCGGCGCTGGCTGCAAAGCTGGTCAAGGCCGGCCTGGGCAGGATAGCCTTTCCCTCGTAGGAGCAAGGTGGCCAGCAGCAGACCAGACTCATTAACCCCCCTTTCACCACCGCACCCCTCAACAAGTCCCCCACCACCAATCCCAAGGAGATGTTTGTGATCTTGGCCAAGAGGCCCCGTCTTTAAAGTGTGGCTGCAATTGTAGAAGGTCGCCACCTGGAGGTCTGGCGAGCGGAGTAAAAAGTATTGAGGAAACAGAACAGTGCAGGGAAACATGAGCCCGGCGCGACCCCAATTTGGGGAAAGTTTTCTATTGCATGGGCGCAGTGCTTGGCATTATTTGGCATTGCTTGGCACTTATTGGAATTGCTTCGCATTGCTTGGCATTGCTTCGCACTGCTTGGCAGGGCTTCGCATTGCTTGGCATTGCTTGGGTAACCCGAGGAATCCGAGGTACCCGGGGAACACGAGGAACCCTTAGAATCCGATGAACCCAAGGAACCCAGGGAACCCGAGGAACCCGAGGAACCCAGGGAACCCGAGGAAGAACCCGAGGGAGAACCCGAGGAAGAACCCGAGGAACCCGGAGAACCTGGGGATTCCGAGGAACCCGGGGAACTTGGGGAACCTGCGGAACCCGAGGAACCCGAGGAACCCGAGGAACCCGAGGAACCCGAAGAACCCGAGGAACACGAGGAACCCAAGGAACGCAGGGACCCCGAGGAACACGGGGAGCCTCCGAGGAACGGGCAAAGTGGCCACCCGAGGCACCAACTTTTAACCAAGTAAGAACCCTTCAGGCAAGCCTAGTTGGGGAAAAAGAGTGGTGTGTATGCGTCCTGAGGTCGAAGAGATCGTGGACCAGAACAGTTTGGGAGCAGGGAAGACCAAGCCGAGGAGCGCAAGCACTGTGGAGGAAACGGGTGAGAAAAAGTAGGCAGCCTTTCATGAGACGTAGTGCTGGTGGTCACTGTCGTTATGAGATTAGCTGTCGTCGATGATGTGTGGTTGTAGACTGCCATGCGTTTCCACGCTATCCTCAGTATTGTGCGTGTCCTGGTAGGAAAGTCGGGAAGATTGGTTTGGGAGTCGGAAGTGTTTTGCGCGGCGTAGTGTGTTCGTGAATATGGTTGCGAGTCGCTTGGAGCTGTGCGCAGTAGATGCGCCTGGTAGTGCTGCTGGTGAGTACGGATTGTGCCCGGGTATTGCTGTGGCAGAGGGCCATCGATGTTGTTGACGCTGGGCATGTCGCTTGTGCTGCCATCTGCAGGTATTGATGTGGAACCCGCCTGGCCGCTTCGCACTGGCGTTTTTGGCGGACAGGACATTGCGATTGTCGCCTGGATATGTTGCGTGCGGTCGGTGGTATGTCGACAAGCCATCGAGAATCAGTGGGTTGTGTGCCTGGTGGCGGGCAGGCAGCAGAGATACTGAGCTGTGGTTGTGATGGGTGTTGTGGGCTGCGGATCGTTATGTGGTCTGCGTGGCGGCGCTGATGTGTTGTGGGTGTCGTAGTTTCTGTTGGTGGATCGGTAGTCCTTGCCTCCTCTGGGAAGGTGGTCTGTCTGTTCAGTCAGATGAAGTGTTGGTAGGGGTGCGGCTTTGGTGCTGCTGACGTAAGAGATGGCTGCTGGCCGCTGATCTTGTATAGCACGGTTGCCGTATGTGGCAGGTCAATTGCCCAGCCCCCTCTTGTGCGAATATGTAACCACTATGCCACCATTGCGATTGCCCTGGTAGTTTTGCCATCTGATACTGTTGTCTGTAACTTGAGCTTGTCGTGGATATACTGGTTGACAAAAGTGTCGCCAATGCGGAAGTCAACATCGTTTTTGCACTTGTCTCGCATGTCGTCGATCGCAGTCTAGATGCAGCTGTCAGTCGTGGTGGTGATGTGATGGTGGTAAATCTGAGTCAAGGCTTGTGGCGTGCTTCATGGCGAGTCGCCTGGTAGGCACTGCTGGCGAGATAGTGTAGTGAGACAGTGGTAGTGCCTGGGAGTCTGGTCGTACAGGTGGGCGTGGCAGCACGTATGGGTGTATGGTGTTGACGATGTACTCCCTGTTATATTTGGCGAGGTATTCACACCACGAGTCAAGAAGGGGGTTGTCGTTGGGGAACGTGTACGCTGTTGTCCTGCTCGCTGTAGTAGACGTAGTGCCAGGTGTCTTCATCCCAACAGTCATTTGTGGAGCGGTATGCCATCCATTCCGGTGCGCAGTGCATGTCGTCCTGAGGGATGTCAATGTGAATGGCGTGGGTTCGTCGCTGTAGTTGTCACTGTCGCTGTCACCGTCGTTGCAGATTTCGTCTGCAGGTAGTGATGCGGCTTTGGGGGTAGTCATCGCCGTCGTGGGTGGTGACTTTGCTTTATGGTAGTCGGTTGGGTGCCGTGTGTCTGCAACTGTTGCTGGTGTGGATGCTTTCGCTGTAGGTGGAGGGGCCATGGGGAAAGATGATGGTGCTGGCATGCTTGGTTTGGGTGGTGGTTTTGGGGGGGGGGCGGAGTTGGCTGTTGTGATTGGCCGAATTGTTGGTTCGGTGGTTTCGGTGGTCGGAAGTCGATATGCGAGAGGATGAAGTGTGGTGGCGTAGGTGGCATGTGCCCAGCGCAGCGCATCCTTAAGAGATCCTCGTTTTCATACCCCATTGTTCTACTCGTCGGCGCTCTTCTAGTTGTTTCTGTACCCTGTGTGAGTATAGGTGGTCGTCGCTAACGCTAGTGCCATACATGACGATCCTCCTTGCTGGCGTATATCTGAAGGTATCGCCCATGGGGTACTGCATGTGCATGACTGCCGTGGGCCTAATCGTGTGCACTGACGGGATGACGGGGACAGTGTGGTGTTGTGGGTAGATGGTTGTGATGGCCGTTGGTGAGTGGTCCCCGATCGTCATGGGCCGATTTGGGGTTTGCCAGAATGGGCGCTAGTAGCTCCTCCTCTCCTCCTCACTTTTCCTCTTCCTCCTCATCCTCATCCTGCTCCTCCTCCTCCTCCTCCTCCTCCTGCTCCTGCTCCTGGTCCTGCTCCTCTTCCTCCTCCTCCACTTCCTCCTCCTTCTCCTCCTCCTGCTCCTCCTCCTCCTCCTCCTCCTCCGCCTCCTCCTCCTCCTCCTCCTCCTCCTCCTCCTATGGGGTGTGGGGGGGAGGGGGTGGGCGATGGGCCAGCCTGTGTCCCCCGACGGAACGCCAGGCGCAGCCAGCAGACAGCCAGCAGCCAGTGGCGCCGCGGAGCGGCGCGGGCCCTTCTTCGGGGAGAGAGGTGGGAGTGGGCAGCTCCTCCTCCCCTTCCTCCGAAAGAGGAACAGGGAGAGCAGGAGGAGGAGGAGGACGAGGAGGAGAAACAGGAGCAGCAGCAGCAGGAGGAGGAGGAGCACGAGGAGGACGAGGAGGAGTAGGAGGAGGACGAGGAGGACGAGGAAGAGGAGGAGGCGGAGGAGGAGGAGGAGGAGGAGAGCCCATGTTCGGGCTCGAGGCTCCAGGCGTCTTCGTATGTTTTCGGTGGTTGTCCACCCTCGGGATGCGTTCCAGCAGCTGCGCCTTTCCGAGTGCGTTCCGGGGGAGACCCGGATTATGACCCGAACTCCGAGTGGCCCGGATCAGGAGGAGGAGGAGGAGGAGAAGGAAGCGGAGTGGGGGGGAGGAGAGGTTGGAGGCATGGTTGATTCATTGGTCCCCCTTCTTCTGTTTCCTTCTCTCGCGTGAGCCACGACGAAGACGGGGAGGTGGACGGGAACGAGATTGGCCCAACAGGGGGGGCAAAGATGGTCGCGAGTTAGCCTCGTGGGCACAGGGGCCCAAAATTGGTTTTCAGACTGCCAGTGTTGGGCCCCCAGAATGCGGGAGAACGTGGGAGAAGGAGCTGGTGGAGGAGAACGGCGACGGAGAGGAGGAAACGATGTCGTCCTCGCTCGCCCGCAGGCAGGCAGACCGCTGCAATTGCCTGGAAGGACACGCTTCATGCCCAGGCCGTTGGCGCGCTTGGTGGACCCGTGCGTCGCATTTCCAGTGCAGCAGGCCGTGCTCGCAGGTTGCCACCTCTGGCAGACGCACCCCCGGGGAGCTGGCCGCGGCAGCCGGTCGAGGCCGAAGGGGGCGAACATGCCCCCTCGAGCCTGAGCGCGGCCGCCTGGTTTGCTGCTGGGGAGGGCGTGCGCGCTCAGGTGGGCGACCCAGGACGGTGCGTCGTCGCTGCCACCGCTGATGTTGCATTTCGAGCAGGGGATCGGCTACAGAGTTGATTTACCCCAGAGGTGATTCCGCGGTCGGATCCACGATAGATACGAAGATCGTTCTGCAGATCTACGGATCAGTCTACGCATGTCTCGTAGAGTCGACGAGGCGATAAGTTCTGGGGCGAATCAATTCTGTACAGTCGACGCGCCCAGTAAGGACGCCCGCCTTCATCTAGGATACCCGTGTTTCCTTGCCTTTGCGGCCCGTCTTGTGCCGTTTCATTGGTCGGCCGCTGCCCAAAAAATCCCAACTTCGGCCTCCAAGGGTCTTGCCTGCTTACCACCCATTCGGAATACACGTCTTGAGTGTAGTCGATCCCCTACTCGAGCATTGTCTCCGCCTCGCTGCACGCCCACAAGAGGAGGAGTCCCGCGGGAGCAGCCAAGGCAAAACGCGGCCAGGAGCACCAGGAAGGGGCGAAGACGCCTGGCGGGAAGGGGGGGGAACGAAGGGGAAGAGGAGAAGGAGGGGGTGGGTCTGAGTTATTTTCGCCCTTTCGGGCCACTATTATTTGTTTTACTCTGTGCCTGACCTTCGCTGCACCCGTCCGCGGCATTATTTGTTCGCTCACTCTGCCTAAAACGGCGCCTTGTTTTCTTATAGAGAGCAGCAAGCGCAGTCTTCAAGGTTGGTCGACGTCAAACCAGGAAAAATGGAAGTGGTGGGGATGAGGAGTAGGGCGATCATGATTCCTGCACTCTGATGAGAAGGAGGAGCGGGTGCAGGAGACGAAGGAAGGCGGAAGAGAAGGAGAAGAGACTCAGGAAAACCAGGGGGAAGAGGAGGGGGGCGGAGAGAAGGAAAGGTGATGAGACGGTAGTAACATACGAATGTGTTTGTGTGGTGCAAAGTGGTTGACAAAGGGGTTGTACACAGCAAGACGTGCGTATCAGACTTAATATGCTCCAACCGTCTGTCTCTTTCACTGTTTGTTTGTACTTGCGCGTTGAAAAATATTCCTTTCCCACACATGGCTGAAGGCGCGAACCGACGCCGCCACCATGTCGCGGGGTCAACGCCAGGAAGGACATGCCAAGAAGGCGCCACGCTCACTTTTGCACATGTTCTTATAATGCTAATGCATTATGAATCTTCTCTATGTCCCAGATGTGTTTCTGCGCTTTGACTGTGCATACAAATGGAGTCGGCAAGCAAAAGTGTGTGACTGTGTGTATTGTCTTGTTTCATGCTAGTGAAGCTAGATCTCGGGTTTTCTATGATTGTTGGAATCCGCCGTGGGGGCCACGGTGCCGCGATTCGCGTGAGGCATTGCTTGGTTTGGTATGGTCTTGTGTGGCCTGGTATGGTACAGGCGGTGTTTGCAAGGTCTGGTTTCTTGTCTGGTTGAGTCGGCATCATATTTGATAAGTCCGTTCGAATATACGAAGGATTGTAATGTGATGCTTACACGTGTGTGGTTTCTACTTTTGGATGAGCAGTGATTCGCCATAGTACAATCCGCTCGAGCACCAGCGCCGTCCAGCTCATGCCTAGTGCTGATTCCTTGGGAAGCACAACTGCTATTGGAAGTGAGTTCGCCCGCTTCCCGTGTACATTTCCGACGAGAGTTCAATTGAGGGGTTCGATGGTGCCGCGCGCTTGTTACGGCAAGCGCGGAGTATGACGCCGGGTTTCTACGCGTTTCCGCAGTAGTTTGAGATTGTATTGTTAGTCCGGGAAGGTAGCCGCATGTTGTTTTTCGCATGTAAGACTACGTCCACTTTTAAGCACGCACACCTATTATTTTCTCTGCCGGAGCAATAGTATCACAGGCAACGATACAACGAACTAACCTGGTGCGCCGCACGGGCGCTAGAATGCAAGCCCCAGCTCTATCAACAATAGCCCGACATTGTAGTGATAGAACCCACAAGCCAATGCGGCAAAGAAGCAAAAAAACCAACGTAAGTTCCACAACCATGCCGCTATCGACAGCCGACATGCAGCCCGCCAGCACAGAAGCCGTCATGTAGACACAACGCCACGTGTCAAAACGGCGTAGCCATATCACAATAGGCAATGCGAAAGCTGCAGTTCACCGCCAGCTCCAGGGCCAGCACGACGTAGAAAAGCGCGATCGCCCAAGAGGCGCGCAGCGAATTGTGATGAGGGTGTGGCCCGCATGCCAGTCCAAGATCATACCAGATCTGCGCCAGGACACCAGATAGTGAGACGTCAAATTGCCTCATTGTTTGCTGTGGCACAAGATGCGCAGCCCAGGGGAATCGGCATAGACGCACTCCATCAAGCCAACGGTGGATGTGGAAGACCCTGGAGAAAGTCGAACGCGCCCTCCAAACAAGTTCCACGGGAGCTTGTTTCATGCACGTTGCGGTTGTCATGCTCGTAACTGGCGAAATTGGAGAGAAGTATAACGACCAAGGCGCACACACACACACACACACACATACACACACACACACACACACACACACACGCACACAAACACATACACACACAATATTCACGTCGTCGCTAAAACAAAAAATGCATCCGAGCAAGGTGCCCCACGAGGAGCGTCGTCAGCAACAGCACCGCCAAAGTTCGTAATTCTCTGAGCCGGAATCGCTACGGAAACCATACAACTGGTGAAAACATTTGTGAATGTTTGTCTCCGTTTTCTACATTGATCCGGAACATTGAGATCTTTCTGCATTATTTTCTTGTGTCCGTGCCCAACCGATATTTATCGCGGGATGCGTGACTTCGATGAAAAAATCCACGCAGAAGTTTACCGATTGGAGGGACTAAATCGTTCAATCTAGCAGGCGTATTCAAATATATGTATGTATGTATGTATATATATATATAATTATCTATATATATATATATATATATATATATATACATATACACATCTATGTCGAGTTTGACCAATTCAAATCGAGAAACGGATCCGAACGCAAAGGTTTACTACCGCAAAAGCCGCGGAAACTCTTTCAGTACTGGTCATACGGAGCGAAGTTCCGAATACCGCACACTGATACCAAAATCGATCCGGATACCGATACCGATTGCAATACCGGCTTCTGGAAACCAACTGATTCATTTGCGAACCGGAAGTTTGGAGGTCTGGAAAGAAAAAAACCGTATTGTGTAATAATTGTATCTACATTGGCTTATGTTGAATTCTGAGTATACCGTTATATATATATATATCTATATATATATATATATATATAATATATATATATATATATATAATATATATATATATATATAATTATATATATATATATATATATATATATATATATATATATATATATATATATATATATATCGAATATATATGTGGGATATATATATATATTATATATATATATATATATATATATTATATATACTAAATATATACATAGATTATATATATATATATATTATGTTGCATATATATATATATACAATACATATACATAATATACATGGTCGACATATCACACCCTATACATGTGTATATATATATGTGTATGTATGTACATATGCACATACATACACACACATGCATTTAAACATATACATATGTTTTTTCATGCATATATACATACATATATCTACCATGCGACCACAGTTTTACAGTTTTCTGATCCGTTCATACATGCACACACAAACACACACACACACACAAACACACACACACACACACACACATATATATATATATCGATGTAAGGGATCGAAATCAGAAGTTGCAAAACTATTGTTGTTGTTTTATATTTCATTTATAATTTCGTTTAATAGGAAAGATGGAAATAGAGTTTGCCAGTTTAGGTAAAAACATTCATGATGTGGTTTTCTTTTGTTGTTGTAAAAGGAATATATTTTAAATTTCATGGAGGATTCAGAATTAGTGTCAAGATCATTTTATTAGTACACGATGTGTTACACATTGTATATTATCGATTTGTATTGTTTAAGGTTTCAGTATTTTGGTTTGTATATTTTTTTTTTGAGAGTTCTATTATGATGTCCGTCATTTATACAGAGTGTTGTTATCCTTCAGACCGTGTGTTTAATGAATTCGATTACGTAGATGTTTTCCCGCTATTCTTGCAAGCGATAGGAGTCGAACATCGCTTTCTAAGAGTACGAATGCGCAGACCTATTTGTACATTACCATGATGAGTTGGTAATGGTGAGCAAGATTAGAAGTGATTTGACGCTGTATTTATAAAGGAAAAACCAACGTCATGTGCAGTTCGGAAAAGCACACAATCAACCCAGAATTTTTGGTCAGCGAGACACTACGAACCATCAAGCGCAGAATGAAGTTTAAATTAATTATTGCGTTGGTGATTTTTGTTTGTTGTTTTTTTCGACAAGATTATTCGATTTACGAATGTGCGAATTAAGTTTCGATTGTTTCGGACTTTAGTCAATTCGAGAATTAAAGCATTATCTGGATTTTTCCAATAAATTTCAAAATTTCTAAGAATTCCCGGAAATTTATATTTCTCATTTTTACAACAACATCAGGCGGGAGACAACAATTATCATGACATGTTCTACATAAAGATGTGTAATTGTTGACTAACATCGTCTTCCATCAGATAAGATGCCTATATTGACCTAATTGTAGTGAAGAGTATTTAGATATTTTGAATTTAATTAAAAAAGTTCAGATATATTTTATGTTGTTTCGATTAATATAATCTCTAACATTTAATTATGTCGTATGGTAAGTTTTTGTTTGTTGTTTTGACATGTATCAGCAAAAATTAAGGATTGACAGTTCGCAGGGTGATGTTTGTGTTTGATATTATTTTGTTCTACTTAAAAGTGGTTTTGCATCATCCATAAACACCAGAGCGACATACACGAATCGAAACGTATACATTCCGAAGATTTATGCGGTTGTATTTAATGTGTTGTTTCACATGTAATGTTGACAGCATATTTCCGCAAGTTCGAGGCGCTCGATGTTTATCGATCATGTTCTATTGTGAGCGTGAAGAGTAGTTTGTTGTGTTTCATTTATGTTGCGAACAAGGCATAGCATGAGAAATTTCGAATGCAACATTAGTTTCAGAAAGGTTGGACGTTCATCGATTTTGAATGATAAAATACATAATTCGATTTGTGATGAGAATCAAAGATAAATGTTTCACATGTGAGTGAGACGGTGCTGGAACGTATTGGTAATGTCCCGATAAGGCGATTATTTTGCCAAAGAGGAATTTTGAGAGTTAGCGCGATGCCAGAAAGTTTGTTTGTTCGACCAGATTTTGTTATTCGATTCAATTTCGGAATGTTGGTTTATTATTTGATTGAATGTTGCACATATTCAACGGTTTTGTATTGTTCTCGAGTGCAGATGAATCACAGAGTTTTTTTGGTGAGACCACGTGTTCTGTTGCATTGCAAAAACACGGGCCAGATTAATTGTGAGTGTGTCTGTGTATTATCGCGACACAGTTGCCTCCAAGTTCGAGCAGCCAGCTTCTGAAACATTACCACGAACATAACAAACAGATTCTCAAGCGCCGCCGATTCGAGTTTTCCCGCGTAAGCGCTGGACACAGATGAAATTCCGAAGAGAGACCGACACGACGCGAGAAATAGTTGTTTCCATTCAGAATCCTGGCGATTTCGAGGGCAAGTTCCGCGACAGATTCGTTTGTTCTCCGTTTTCTTAGGGATGCGAGGGAACTGTTTATTTTGCTTGTTTAAGTTTCCCCTGTCCTCGCCCGCAGGTCAGTTGCCAGTTTCCCAGGCAATGTTGCAGTGTTTTCCTCTGTTCGCGTCCTCGTTTTTTCTAGAAGCAAACCTAGTTTTTAAGCGAATCGTCGAGACCATGTTTTGCGTCCGATTCTATTAGATGAGCATGATACAGCTTTTGCGTTGGACTCGAGCGACGCCGATGCCTTATTCCGCCGATTTCCCGAGAATGCGGATTTTTGAGCCGCCTTATCCGGCCGACCTCGGAAGCAGAATTTTCGAGCCTTACCCCGCCAACCTCCAGAACCGAAATTTCGAGCCGCCTTACCCGGCCGTCCTTCGGAGCAGAATTTTCGGGCCGCCTTACCCGGCCGTTCTCCGG